TTGCAATGACGAGGCCCTTCGGGCCTAAAATATAAAATATATTTATTTATTTATATGTGGAAAGAACTTCAAAATACATATTCTGCCGGATAATTGCAACTGAGCAAATCACATGACGGAACATCCAACACATCGATTGTGATTCTAGTAATTCTTTCGCAGATACATATATAAAATTATGCCTTCAATTTACAGGGACTTGAGTTTAGACATCTGTGTATTGTGTTGCCTAGTTTTTGGCCTTTTGTTAGCTTTCCATCATTATCCCCACTTGGCTATTTTCCATTTAAATGCTATGCTTGTTTGTGCAAATGCCTTATTGTCGATGAAGGAAACGTTCATTCTCCCCCTAGACAACGACGAGGTTTAAAGGGGTTAATAAAGAATATTGGATGGCATTACATTTGACCACTTTTAGTACAGATGTATACAAATATGCATAAGTGCGCTCGCATTATTGTTGAAGTACAGCAAACAGTAGGTGATCATATAAACTCCTTTAAGGAACACGTGCAAATAGCTGGATGGTGCAGTGAGTTGCTAGTCGTTTACATGGCATAACAGGAGCCAATTTGGCCTCTGAAGTCATGGCACTGGACGCGAATATTGTCTCGACCAAGGCTAACTTGGACGTCGGGCCAGCTGCGCATATTAACAAATTCGCGTTTGGAAATGAGGTAGATAGACGTGTATAGACCAATTTCGAAGTCCACGGAGGCGCCAAATAACAGGGTGCTTATAGACTTTTCGCGATTTTTCCATGTAAATCTGAGCGAACGTTTAAATGATGGCTCGGGGTAGGACTGAAACACAGAAAAGGAACCACATCAGGGTATGCACAGGATTATGATAAAGGCCATTTAAACAGTCATTTTTTTTATCTACTTGAATTTGTATTTTCTAGCCGTTGTTAGATGAAAAGGTATGATATTTAGACGCCACTGGTTGATTTTCCAAATTTATAGCGTCAAATTATATTTAGGTAGGCGTGGTCCTGTACTTTATACCTGGGAATCAGTAAAATGAATTTTATTGTAACCAAGTAAGTGGAAGTTTTACCCATGAGAAATGATTTAATCCAATTATTGATAATAGTCGCAGACAGTGCCATTCATTGGCTGCGGCCACGGTACTCCCCTAGGATGTGATTGGTCCATCTCTGAGTGATTGCTTGGATTAGTCAAAACTCTCTACTTGAAGCGGATTGGACAGAACGTTAGCCAGCCCAAACCGAATATTTCTCGTTGTGGATCTTGGCCTACTTTTCCGGCGTGATGGTGTTAGAACAAAGTTAAGCATGCAGAGTTATCACTGAATATCTCACCGGACAGTGCCGAAGAATTATTTTAAAAACAAACTAGGTTCCCGTATTTTTGGAGATCTGGGGGAGATTGGATCATCTTCTGTTTAGAGAATAGTTTTGTAGAAGAGAGAGTAGTTATATATATTGATTTACCGCACGATAGAAGCCATGATAGTCAATTTCTCCTTTGGCCTCCTGTTCACAGAACATAACCCAGTTGTGAAAACCAGAGACCTTGCCTTTCCTTATTTCGCCCACAAAAACGTGCTCAAATGCTGAGGAGTCGTTTGATCTGTGAGATGAAAAAATAGCGCA